GGTGCATTATATGAATGGCGGGTGCTGCAGGTGCATTATATGAATGGCGGGTGCTGCAGGTGCATTATATGAATGGCGGGTGCCACAGATGCATTATATGAATGGCGGGTGCCACAGGTGCATTATATGAATGGCGGGTGCTGCAGGAGCATTATATGAATGGCGGGTGCCACAGGTGCATTATATGAATGGCGGGTGCCACAGGTGCATTATATGAATGGCGGGTGCCACAGGTGCATTATATGAATGGCGGGTGCCACAGGTGCATTATATGAATGGCGGGTGCTGCAGGTGCATTATATGAATGGCGGGTGCTGCAGGTGCATTATATGAATGGCGGGTGCCACAGGTGCATTATATGAATGGCGGGTGCCACAGCTGCATTATATGAATGGCGGGTGCTGCAGGTGCATTATATGAATGGCGGGTGCCACAGGTGCATTATATGAATGGCGGGTTCCACAGGTGCATTATATGAATGGCGGGTGCCACAGGTGCATTATATGAATGGCGGGTGCCACAGGTGCATTATATGAATGGCGGGTGCCACAGGTGCATTATATGAATGGCGGGTTCCACAGGTGCATTATATGAATGGCGGGTGCCACAGGTGCATTATATGAATGGCGGGTGCCACAGGTGCATTATATGAATGGCGGGTGCTGCAGGTGCATTATATGAATGGCGGGTGCTGCAGGTGCATCATATGAATGGCGGGTGCCACAGGTGCATTATATGAATGGCGGGTGCTGCAGGAGCATTATATGAATGGCGGGTGCCACAGGTGCATTATATGAATGGCGGGTGCCACAGGTGCATTATATGAATGGCGGGTGCCACAGGTGCATTATATGAATGGCGGGTGCTGCAGGTGCATTATATGAATGGCGGGTGCTGCAGGTGCATTATATGAATGGCGGGTGCCACAGGTGCATTATATGAATGGCGGGTGCCACAGGTGCATTATATGAATGGCGGGTGCCACAGGTGCATTATATGAATGGCGGGTTCCACAGGTGCATTATATGAATGGCGGGTGCCACAGGTGCATTATATGAATGGCGGGTGCCACAGGTGCATTATATGAATGGCGGGTGCTGCAGGTGCATTATATGAATGGCGGGTGCCACAGGTGCATCATATGAATGGCGGGTGCCACAGGTGCATTATATGAATGGCGGGTGCTGCAGGTGCATTATATGAATGGCGGGTGCTGCAGGTGCATTATATGAATGGCGGGTGCTGCAGGTGCATTATATGAATGGCGGGTGCTGCAGGTGCATTATATGAATGGCGGGTGCTGCAGGAGCATTATATGAATGGCGGGTGCCACAGGTGCATTATATGAATGGCGGGTGCCGCAGGTGCATTATATGAATGGCGGGTGCCGCAGGTGCATTATATGAATGGCGGGTGCTGCAGGTGCATCATATGAATGGCGGGTGCCACAGGTGCATTATATGAATGGCGGGTGCCACAGGTGCATTATATGAATGGCGGGTGCTGCAGGAGCATTATATGAATGGCGGGTGCCACAGGTGCATTATATGAATGGCGGGTGCCACAGGTGCATTATATGAATGGCGGGTGCCACAGGTGCATTTTATGAATGGCGGGTGCTGCAGGTGCATTATATGAATGGCGGGTGCTGCAGGTGCATTATATGAATGGCGGGTGCCACAGGTGCATTATATGAATGGCGGGTGCTGCAGGTGCATTATATGAATGGCGGGTGCTGCAGGTGCATTATATGAATGGCGGGTGCCACAGGTGCATTATATGAATGGCGGGTGCCACAGGTGCATTATATGAATGGCGGGTGCTGCAGGAGCATTATATGAATGGCGGGTGCCACAGGTGCATTATATGAATGGCGGGTGCCACAGGTGCATTATATGAATGGCGGGTGCTGCAGGAGCATTATATGAATGGCGGGTGCCACAGGTGCATTATATGAATGGCGGGTGCCACAGCTGCATTATATGAATGGCGGGTGCTGCAGGTGCATTATATGAATGGCGGGTGCCACAGGTGCATTATATGAATGGCGGGTTCCACAGGTGCATTATATGAATGGCGGGTGCCACAGGTGCATTATATGAATGGCGGGTGCCACAGGTGCATTATATGAATGGCGGGTGCCACAGGTGCATTATATGAATGGCGGGTTCCACAGGTGCATTATATGAATGGCGGGTGCCACAGGTGCATTATATGAATGGCGGGTGCCACAGGTGCATTATATGAATGGCGGGTGCTGCAGGTGCATTATATGAATGGCGGGTGCTGCAGGTGCATCATATGAATGGCGGGTGCCACAGGTGCATTATATGAATGGCGGGTGCTGCAGGAGCATTATATGAATGGCGGGTGCCACAGGTGCATTATATGAATGGCGGGTGCCACAGGTGCATTATATGAATGGCGGGTGCCACAGGTGCATTATATGAATGGCGGGTGCCACAGGTGCATTATATGAATGGCGGGTGCTGCAGGTGCATTATATGAATGGCGGGTGCTGCAGGTGCATTATATGAATGGCGGGTGCCACAGGTGCATTATATGAATGGCGGGTGCCACAGGTGCATTATATGAATGGCGGGTGCCACAGGTGCATTATATGAATGGCGGGTTCCACAGGTGCATTATATGAATGGCGGGTGCCACAGGTGCATTATATGAATGGCGGGTGCCACAGGTGCATTATATGAATGGCGGGTGCTGCAGGTGCATTATATGAATGGCGGGTGCTGCAGGTGCATCATATGAATGGCGGGTGCCACAGGTGCATTATATGAATGGCGGGTGCTGCAGGTGCATTATATGAATGGCGGGTGCTGCAGGTGCATTATATGAATGGCGGGTGCTGCAGGTGCATTATATGAATGGCGGGTGCTGCAGGTGCATTATATGAATGGCGGGTGCTGCAGGAGCATTATATGAATGGCGGGTGCCACAGGTGCATTATATGAATGGCGGGTGCCGCAGGTGCATTATATGAATGGCGGGTGCCACAGGTGCATCATATGAATGGCGGGTTCCACAGGTGCATTATATGAATGGCGGGTGCTGCAGGAGCATTATATGAATGGCGGGTGCCACAGGTGCATTATATGAATGGCGGGTGCCACAGGTGCATTATATGAATGGCGGGTGCCACAGGTGCATTATATGAATGGCGGGTGCTGCAGGTGCATTATATGAATGGCGGGTGCTGCAGGTGCATTATATGAATGGCGGGTGCCACAGGTGCATTATATGAATGGCGGGTGCCACAGGTGCATTATATGAATGGCGGGTGCCACAGCTGCATTATATGAATGGCGGGTTCCACAGGTGCATTATATGAATGGCGGGTGCCACAGGTGCATTATATGAATGGCGGGTGCCACAGGTGCATTATATGAATGGCGGGTGCTGCAGGTGCATTATATGAATGGCGGGTGCTGCAGGTGCATCATATGAATGGCGGGTGCCACAGGTGCATTATATGAATGGCGGGTGCTGCAGGTGCATTATATGAATGGCGGGTGCTGCAGGTGCATTATATGAATGGCGGGTGCTGCAGGTGCATTATATGAATGGCGGGTGCTGCAGGAGCATTATATGAATGGCGGGTGCCACAGGTGCATTATATGAATGGCGGGTGCCGCAGGTGCATTATATGAATGGCGGGTGCCGCAGGTGCATTATATGAATGGCGGGTGCTGCAGGTGCATTATATGAATGGCGGGTGCTGCAGGTGCATTATATGAATGGCGGGTGCTGCAGGTGCATTATATGAATGGCGGGTGCTGCAGGTGGGGCAGGCCATGCTCACCCTTTTCGCGAAAGTGGTGTCATCACTGATTTTCACTGGTCCATTCAATATAATTTCCACAGCTATTTTCCCCTTTATACCAAATGAAATCTGTTTCGGCAAAGAATCTTCTTATTCTCTTGCATTGACAATATATATTCACCATAACACGTACACCGACTAAGTGCATCCCGGTCACATGACATGATATCACAATGGCATATTGTATTACTGCCAAGGCCATGTGTGTTTGTTTGTTGTTTAACGCCGCACTCAGCAATTTTCCAGTTATATGACGGCCGTCTGTAAATAATCAAGTCTGGACCGGACAATGCAGCGATTGATATCATGGGCATCGATCCACGCAATTGTGATGGATGACATGCATCAACCAAGTCAGCGAGTCTGACCACCTGATCCCCTTAGTCGCCGCTTACGACAAGCCTTGGCGCCATTTACGGCAAGCATGGGTTGCTGAAGATCTATTCTACCCCGGATCTTCACGGGTCGCCAAGGCCATGTGAAAACACCGCGCTTCCAGCGGTGTCACACAATCACAACTGTATGGAATCCTAGAAGGGACACTGTCCCATTGTCGCCGTTGACTGAAGAGTATTTCGGTCATAACACGTGTTAGATTGATATATGAGGAAATGTATCGGCGTGCAAAAACAAGCTAAAGCAAGCAATTACAAAAAAACCAAAAGTGTGACATTGCGACAATGTGACACCGAAATATTTTGACCAATTGCCCGATTGACGCGCTTTTAAAATATTTTTGGTTTCTACGTCAGGGCAACAATACGACAACCGGACATTCTCAAGGTCAAAATATGTCGCTCCATCTCAATTATGCAAAACAAGTGTAAAAATATTGTTGGTTTCTCTGTTGTTTAACGCCACATTCAACAATATTCCAGCTGTATGACGGCGGTCTGTAAAAATCGGGTCTGGACCAGACAATTCAGTGATGTACATCATGAGCACCGATCCACACAATTTACGGAAGAATTGGTTGGTGAAGAACCATTCTACCCCGGACTGTTGTCGCGCTTTGGTTTATTTTACAACAAATTGGACGAAACACTGTCCCTTCGCGGATTCCCACAGAACGAACATTCACGACCATGGCCATCATCGAGAAAGTCGGTTACGACCACATACGGAGGCATAAACAAAAAACAAACAATGAAATAATAATTCATAAATGTATTTTCCTACAAGCCATATTTAACATATAATGCACCATATTGGAAACGATAGTATCATTTGGATGAAGACTCTCGTTCTCAGACGCTACAGTCATATCCCAATAATCTAGATACAACACTTTGTCCATGATTGGCCGAAACGTCTCACGTATAATATTGTCATACACGGGGCCCCAATAGTCATCCAGTCGGCCAGGCAGATCTTGCATTGCATGGGGTCCCTTTATTGCCACGGTAACGTTTGGGGCACGTGACACAAGAGACTCCACTGATTGGTAGAGACGCCGGATGTGACGTGTGAACACACTCGGATGGAACGACACAAAATGGAGGTAGTAGTGTATTATAACAATATCCCTAGAATGATTTGGTAATTCATCAAGGTAAACATACGTGGGTCTGTTGAAACCCCTGTTGGGTCCTCCGTAGAAAGGGAGTTCGTGAGGCCCCCAGAACACTGAATAGTTGTGAAATGTATTGACAGCTAGGCATGGCTTGTGCCACGGCTGGCCGTCCTCAAACATTTGTGACGCCATTTTGAGTTTCAGAAGTTTCCGGAAATGTACGAACCACTGCCGAGTTGTGGAGTCTCCATATATGAGAAGACGTCGGTTACGTAAACAGCCTTCGTAGTGGTCGACAGTGTCGATGGTGACTTTGCAGGCTGCAGGGACCCACGTCCACTTGTGAAAAAAGCCCACGGGGGACACATCACCCCAAGTGTCAATCATGGGACGTTGGTTACACGGGACGAAGTTATCTGGATCACTTGAAGCATCGGACTCATCTGACAAAAAACATGTTTTTTTTAAAACAATTAAACGAAAAGAACGGGATTTGAAATACATGTTAGATCTTATCACTCAGTACGTGTGTGGGCAACAGGACAAAGTTCGTTTAAGATAAAAGGATGGCCTCCATTCAGTTGTAACTCACTGATCAGCGTGATTTTTTGGCAAGCGTTGGTGGTTTCAGTTGAGCTCCAGACAGAGGATACCTACAGTGTTATTAACATTTGGTTTCAAAATCTGAAACTTAATCAGTTTAAAGTTTCCAAGGAAATCATCAAGTGGAAACCATCTCCGAAAGTTTGCAATCGCGGAAACCAAAAAGTAAACCTATGTTATCAAGTTTCTATTTGGTTTCCGGATATTTTGAAACCGATTTTCGAGAAAGATCTGAAAGCTACCACACTGTTGACTACAATGACGTTAGTTTTATCCATTTTATACGATTGGGGACTTTATAATGTCAAACAGGAACAGCCATCGGTGCTTCACTTTATGATTAAATCCTGCCCATCAGTCATTTTTTTTACCCGTTATATGAAGCATATTCATAAAATGACAACATTGAAAAATTGCAATGTGTGCCTAGTTGTGTGTCGTGTCGTCCAGAAGCGTTCTTTTCGCCGCATCACTTTTGTTTTCAATAGAAATTTAAGAATGCGTCCCTTTTTCCTCACTTTAAAAAAATAAGTGCAGGAGAAACATTTTTATTCAGCCTAATATTCGTACACAGTGTATTCAGATGGCCCACGTAGCACAAAACGGTGGTTTACCTGTATTGTATTATGGGAAAATCAGACAGCTTAATTACTGATTCACAAGATGATGAATATCGCCTTCATTGCAGCCCTAATTATTGGGTTTTTAGCCTGAGGGCGTGGATGTTACACTTAAGATGACAGCGGGAAACGTACCTTTGATAATATAAATGCTGAAGGCGTTTTAATAGCCAAGCCATCTTTCATTAAGTTATGTCATGGTGAACAAGGCGTTCTCCTAGCCCGAACCACCCTCGAATAGCCAGTGTACTATATCTCCATGCTACTTAATGATACATAACCTTGACCAATTATCTGCCATGGTTCGTTTTGAGCCTGATTCGAATGACATGTCACTAAAAGTAGCCGTTTGATGAAATTATTCACATGAGCGGGAGAAATTTTGTGCTAAGTTTGAAACTATGGAGGTGACGTCACTTTCGAAACAAAGCTATGGATGCAAATGGGTCCAGGGTATTGATCATAACAGAATTGAAATAGAGTACCCTGGATAATCGGGCCAGTATTAAATGTCGGATTTTGATTATTTTCAATATACCCCGCTAACATGTATGGCACGTATGTCCCCCGCTCGAATTGCCGAAATGTTGCCATTACATGGCAACATACCAATCGCAGTTTTGTATCTCCAATCAATAATGTAAGATGCCATTCTCCGAATATTTGCGATATTTTCCGAATGAAATAGATCTTTGGGGAAATCACTCTTAGTTTTTTTACTTGCGTCTGCTATAAATGCCTAACTGTGGTATTCTTATCGGTTAGGACCAAAGCATGCATAGCATACTTGTAATACAAGTAGGTGTCAGTAAGATACAGTCGTTGTCCCCTGGTTCACCTCGAGACCTGTGGACAACCTATACTGTATGCCCAGCAAATTGATGTTAATCACAGTATATGTGCATGTATTATTTGTACTTACTTCCTTTTGGTAATCGATGTAATTACATATATTTAAAAAGGTTTCATGAACCCATACGGCTTGGCAAATATTGTATGAACTGTTGTAGGAATTTTTAATATATCTACAATGTGGGATACTTGGATAAAATAAAAAAAAATTCCGATTCGCTGTGCAGAGTTGCGTTCCTTGGGCACGCCAGAAACCTATGATTGTGGATTCGAATCCCGGTTCGCCCCGATTATAGTTCTAGGTTTGTCAGCACCATACCCGTGCTCGTGGGTTTCACCGAAGTGGTAAACGTCTGAGACCTGCATCACTTCGGGCTTTCCTCCCACATTAAGCTGGCACGCCGTGATATAACTGCAATAATGTTAAAAGCGGCGTTAAACCCAACTCACTCACTCACTCACTCACTCTGCTTCTTTTCTCTTATTCTTTACATCTCAGCATTATTGTACTTACCAACGCGTATTGTAACGACGAGGCGGGTTCGGAGTTGTGAGTGGTTATTTCTAAAAAAAAAATTATTTAATTTTGATAAATGCAAAAATCGCTGATCAAGTTTATATGATCAAGACACATATTTATTCAATAAATAAACATTTTTACACTCGTTTCAAGCAAATCTGCATGTCGTTGCAATAAGCACTGTCGACCAAATGGGTTTTATGTCGCCTTTCAGTTATCTCACGGCGGGACAGGTTAAGTGGGACGAAATCGCAAATTGATGCAAATCTTAGACCTTTTATACTTTGATGAAACCCACGGGTATGGTGCTGACAAATCAAGAACCACCCGGGCACAGCTACGGGACGCAACTCTAAGCAGCAGGGGCGGTCGGGTAGCCTAGTGGTTAAAGCGATCGCTCGTCACGCCGAAGACCCGGGTTCGATTCCCGACATGGGAACAATGTGTGAAGCCCATTTCTGGTGTCCCCCGCCGTGATATTGCTGGAATATTGCTAAAAGCGGCGTAAAACCATACTCACTCACTCACTCACTCACTCACTCTGAACAGCAAATTCTGTTGCCTTCCCCACACGTGCCCTGAATCACTACTGAATGAGTTGACACATAATCCTATAATCCTATACGGATAATCCAGCATGCTTGTATGCATAGCATCGTGATACTAGTTGTAATAGCCATCAAAACGATATCCTGATAAGAAATATGTTCAGGAAATATTTCATGCAATTACCATCACAACGAACAGTGAGCGTGAGTATGGTTTTACGCCACTTTCAGCAATATCAACGCGAGGAACACCAGAAATGGGCTACCCACATTGTACCTTTGCGGGAACCGAACCCGGGCCTTCGGCGAAGCGAGCGAATGCTTTAACCTCAGGGCTACCCCAATGGCCTCCACGCCGAACAGATGGACAAGGACTTATGTTTTTAGCAATTTCATGTTGTTTTACATCAATTATCAATATACGAAATTAATCTCACCTTTCAATTATCACTTTTTCCGCTTTGGTCAAAGGAAGATGGCCGGCGTTGTCATGAACAACGATTTGTATCCAATCAAAACAAGTGATATTTATAGACCTCGGCGCCCCACAGTACCAGGGAAGACCATAGTTCTCGGCTGTAAAGTTACAAACATTCCGGTACCCGGGGACTTCTGGGAATGGAAGACACGGAGACTCTTCAACCTCGAGATCTTCCTCTTCCACCGCAAATATTGCGTTTATATGTTTTATTGTTTGATGATCTTCAAAAACTGTATAAAGAATTTTTAAACTTTCTCTCGGTCCAGCAATGGAGGCTATAATTTCCGGTTGCCCAGCCCAAGCCGCTCTTAAAACACCTGTATAGGTACCATCTTCGTTATCGGTCACGTGACCGGCTGAACATGCTGACTCGGCAAGATCTCGAAGCCAGATTCTAACTAAGTCACCTCCTCGTTTCTTCGGCAGTCCGTAACCATCAAACAACTGCACTTTCACTGTTATTCTCTCCCCTGCATTGTACGTCGTTCGTTGACCTTCACCTTCTAAAAACATGAAGGACAAGGTCGCGTTGGCACATGATAAGGGATCAAGGTTATACACATCGGAAGTGATCTCAGCCTCGCTCACGAAATTGGGGCGCTGAATAAAAGGCACTGGCTGTAGAGAACTGAAACAAAAATTAAATCTACGTTAATGACATTAACATGCGTTAGCTATAGAGTTAGTGGGTATGGTTTTACGCCGCTTTTAGCAATTTGATAGCAATATCACGGCGGGGGACACCAGAAATGGGCTTTACACATTGTACCAACGTGGGGAACCAACCCGGGTCTTCGGCGTGACGATCGAACGCCATGCTTCTAGAAGGGAGTATGGGTCTGTGCTGTAATTTGATTGGCTACAAAACGTTGTTAAATGGGTATCGAAGTTCGGATATATTTCAAACTTTACACTGCGTGTAAATACTTTTCGCCTATCGCCTATTTCCCAACCCCAAATGGATTGTATCATGACGTCATATCATTCCTGAGTGACGTCATATCTGTCCCACAACTGTGAAACTTCACGTAGTGAGGGAGAGCTTCTGAAAATTACTGGAAAAAGTTTGTTCTTTACAATGTCGATATGCAGGATGTATATTAATAATGTTAAAAGCGGCGCTAAACCCGGAGTTTCAAAATAAGATAAACATGAACTCTTGAAATATAAATCAACGCAAGGAACAAATAACCTATATATGGATTATATAATGTATTATATAATATTATCTAATCTGCCGGACAAAAGAAATACACTTGCAAATTAGATTTGACCAAACAATTACGTAATCAAAATGTTTCTACGCCGAAACAATCGCCGAAACACTGCAAGCCACAACTGCAAGCCACAACTACATTGTATGATACTCGTGTCCAATATATCACCATCGAATAACCAAGTCTTGCCTGTTTCATTTTTGCCTTTTAAAAATAACACAAGGGTGTAAACATTAATTCTCTCCGGTAGTTCATGTCCTTGGTCGTACTATGGCATGGCAACAAACATTTTTTTCCCCGCCTTGATATTGCTGGAATATTGCTAAAAGCGGCGTCAAACTATACTCACTCACTCACTGTAAATCGACACTGAGTCAAGTTACTTATATATAGATGAACGAGCATTAGGTTTTAAAACTATTGGCTTTGTATTATATATCCATATGTGGCAAAGTATATAGTTGAATTAAAAGTAAAAACTTATTTCGGGAATAGGTCACGAACGACTGAAACCGCTTCTCATAAAGGTATTTGTGTCTGCAATTTACCGCTCTACTTCTTCAATGTCGTTATGATTGATGGCATTCAACACAGTCATAACTCAACCTTTACCCAGCTTAAGACTTACTCTTGCCGTGACCTCCAACGACAACACAGTCATAACTCCGCCTTTACACAGCTTAAGACTTACTCTTGCCGTGACCTCCAACGACAACACAGTATGTGTGTTTGACTTACATGTATGTGCTTCGCTTACACATGGAAAAGTGTCTGTCGCTTTTTACAAAAGGAGTGTACGGAAGACGAGTACATGCATATTGATTAGAATCTTTGATACCGCAACATACATCCCTATTAAGCCACATTTTAGGTAAATACTTTTGAGACAAGATGGACATTTCAGAAACTACAAATATTGATTGTATGATATAGTCACTAAAATAATTGTATTATGCTGAAGTTTTTGTAGGGCATTTAGAAGTTGGAAGGACATGAAAGATGACCCTTTGTAACGTATTGTAACGACGTTTCAAGGCTATTGCACGCACATATATATTTATATATATTTCGTGCTTGTCAAAACTCCTTTATCCACACAAGATCTTTCGCCGTTCAACGGCTCTTCAGGTGAAATGGAAACTTTAACTTACATTGTAGTCCTAGACGAGGCATAACAGTAGTATTTGTGACGTCATAATGCCTATGATGTAACAGTGACAATAGAGGGAGAAGTAAAACGTAGTCCTAGGCGACAGCCAACGTATATATATATATATATATATATATATATATATATGTGTGTGTGTGTGTGTGTGTGTGTGTGTGTGTGTGTGTGTGTGTGTGTGTGTGTGTGTGTGTGTTTACACAAGATGGGATTAATATACATATATTATTAATTATATATATGTACTCATAACGGTTTTCCCTGATGAAGGGATCCCGGACAAGAAGTCGCCCTGCTCCGTCGTTACAAAATATAAAGAAGTTGTTATCCATAAAATGATTATCAAACATTTATGCATTGAACTGATTCTTATAACTGACAACACAGTTAAACAATACTATACTATAATGAGTATTTGTCATCACAGGTTAGGAATGTAATATACAGGCTAATGGAATGGGCCTGAAGGCGCATGTTAATTACACATTTATACATTGCAACGTCGATGATAACATTACAATATATATAAGTCACAGCATATTACATCGGTATATACAATATATTCACGACACCGAACATGTAAATTTACATGTCGCACTTAATCTACTATAGGCACGTTAACTGATCTTTATCATTATATACGAAATTGCTAAAAGTGGCGTAAAACCATACCCACTAACTCTATAGCTAACGCATGTTATTGTCGTATAAATTGGGGCGGTAGGGGTAGCCTAGTAGTTAAAGCGTTCGCTCGTCTCGTCGAAGACCCGGGTTCGATTCCCCACATGGGTACAATGTGTGAAGCCCATTTTTGGTGTCCCCCGCCGTGATATTGCTGGAATATAGCTAAAAGCGGCGTAAAACTATACTCACTCACTCACTTTATCATTTCTCATGAACCTGTTTGGTACTGTGTGAATATAAAACGTCAGATTAGCTGCGATTACCTCGATTTTCTACCGAAACATATTCAGTTGGACGTAAAAGGCAAAATAGCAGTGGAAATTATATGAAAACGTTTTTGTAGTTTCTTTTATCATCGATAAATACCTTGGAGTTTATAATAAAGTTAGGGAACTTCAGTCCACCAGGACAATCATCGACACGGTCTCAGCTGTTGATGTAATGTATACCATGTACATGTTTATGTGTCTCACCTGCATGGTGTAGTGTGTATCCTGTATAGGTATATGGATCTCAAATCCCTGGTGTAGTGTCAATCTATGTACATGTATATGTGTCTCACCTGTGCAGTTTAAGTCGGCTACATATATTTTTTTTATGTGAAGACTATACGACATATAGCTTTTCCATTGGCCTAGAGGTAGGTAAAAGACGGGAAAATTAACGTTCATAAGTGTATGAACGACACAATTCGACGTTAATTCGTTTGCACGAGACTGTATTCTTGAAATGAAAGTAACTACTTCCACATTCCTTTGGGAAACCCCTGGAGACTCCCCTGCACGAATACATACAGAAGCGTTGTTTCTGATCACTTAGACCCTTAATCTTGAACTCAGCGGTTTAGCATACGTTGTAAAAAGAAACGTAGTGTGTCTTTTGGGTGACATAGACGTCCTTTGGGTGTTACTACTTAATTGGAGGAATTAGCGGTAGTAGAGCGGTCACGACTGGCTATCACCTTGAAGAACAGAGAAGGCTGCTGAGTTGATGGCGTTTAACCGGTGGAAGTAGAGTGAAGTTTGCTACCACCGACCGCCGTATATATACAACTCAGTTGATCGGCTGTAACCATGGATGGTCGTGTCATTATTTACTGATTTATTCAAGTAGGTTGTTATATTGCCTAACTGACCCTTATTCCACAGTCGGACTGACCATGTGTGCCGGCCCTGTGACGTGAAGTTAACTCACTAATCACTGGTTCTCAGAGGAAGTGACCCTTTGTGTCAGCCTGGCTGGGCAGACATGCATAATGGGCCACTGTCCCACAGCTGGAGTGACCGTGAGTTTAGCCGCATATGTGAAACATAAAATATCTTGTATGCGGCGGACAGTTAGTGCATTCGCTACACTGAATTTACTATAAGAAAAGTCATATTAGTTTACCGATATAGGTTGATAAATATATATTTTCTAATAGGAATTTGGTGTTAGAAGAAAGCTATGACAGTAGTATCGACTAGATACTTGTCTAGACCGACAGTGACAGTCAATAGCCACCTTTGAATTTACCTTAGTATCTATTTTACACATCTTTATAATCACCTTTCAATGGTCGGTTAATTGATCAATGATGTAACACATGTACCACCCACAGGTTTATGAACAACTTCGGAAATCTCTCCCGTCACGTTTATCGTGTCTGACATTTTGACGTTTTGTACTTGATGTAAATGTATTACGACACACTGTCATTTTGACTGACTTACTGAGGTAGTTCTTAACAGACCTTTCTCGCCTAATCATTATATTATTTGAACACATTTGTTGTAAACAAACTACAATAGTTGTCCCTGTAAAGCAAGTTGAGCAAACACACGCTCATGTCACCCCACTTTTTGAAGAACTATTTTATTCCGCGATACAGCTGGTTGTTGTGTGGTTCTCAGTGTCAACCTGAACTCACACGTACCACTTTGAATACAATTCTGTAGATATCTGACGTACCAGCCTTCTTATATAGAATTATAAGAATTGAATTTCACTTTGTGTGAGTTCATTGGACTATGAACCTTCATAGAGTAAGGGACCAACATTGTTTGACTGTCGTCTTAGGCTCCGACGTTCATACAGTTTCGCACCTTCTCTATGGAGGTTCATGATACAATGAACTCGCACAAAGTGAAAGTCAGTTCTCAAATATATGTGACTCACCTACTTGGTGTAGAAAGGTCATGTACATGTATATGTGTCTCACCTGCCTGGTGTAATGTAAGTCATGTACATGTATATGTGTCTCACCTGCCTGGTGTAATGTAAGTCATGTACATGTATATGTGTCTCACCTGCCTGGTGTAATGTAAGTCATGTACATGTATATGTGTCTCACCTGCCTGGTGTAATGTAAGTCATGTACATGTATATGTGTCTCACCTGCCTGGTGTAGTGTGAGTCATGTACAAGTATATGTGTCTCACCTGCCTGGTGTAATGTAAGTCATGTACATGTATATGTGTCTCACCTGCCTGGTGTAGTGTGAGTCATGTACATGCATATGTGTCTCACCTGCCTGGTGTAATGTAAGTCATGTACATGTATATGTGTCTCACCTGCCTGGTGTAGTGTGAGTCATGTACATGTATATGTGTCTCACCTGCCTGGTGTAATGTAAGTCATGTGCATGTATATGTGTCTCACCTGCCTGGTGTAGAGTAAGTCATGTACATGTATATGTGTCTCACCTGCCTGGTGTAGTGTAAGTCATGTACATGTATATGTGTCTCACCTGTTTGGTGTAATGGAGTCATGTACATGTATATGTGTCTCACCTGCCTGGTGTAGTGTAAGTCATGTGCATGTATATGTGTCTCACCTGCCTGGTGTAATGTAAGTCATGTACATGTATATGTGTCTCATCTGCCTGGTGTAATGTAAGTCATGTACATGTATATGTGTCTCACCTGCCTGGTGTAATGTAAGTCATGTACATGTATATGTGTCTCACCTGTTTGGTGTAATGTAAGTCATGTACATGTATATGTGTCTCATCTGCCTGGTGTAATGTAAGTCATGTACATGTATATATGTCTCACCTGCCTGGTGTAGAGTAAGTCATGTACATGTATATGTGTCTCACCTGCTTGGTGTAATGTAAGTCATGTACATGTATATGTGTCTCACCTGCCTGGTGTAATGTAAGTCATGTACATGTATATATGTCTCACCTGCTTTGTGTACAGTAAGTCATGTACATGTATATGTGTCTCATCTGCCTGGTGTAATGTAAGTCATGTACATGTATATATGTCTCACCTGTTTGGTGTAATGTAAGTCATGTACATGTATATGTGTCTCATCTGCCTGGTGTAATGTAAGTCATGTACATGTATATATGTCTCACCTGCCTGGTGTAATGTAAGTCATGTACATGTATATATGTCTCATCTGCCTGGTGTTATGTAAGTCATGTACATGCATATGTGTCTCATCTCCCTGGTGTGGAGTAAGTCATGTGCATGTATATGTGTCTCACCTGCTTGGTGTAATGTAAGTCATGTGCATGTATATGTGTCTCACCTGTTTGGTGTAATGAAGTCATGTACATATATATGTGTCTCACCTGCCTGGTGTAATGTAAGTCATGTACATGTATATGTGTCTCACCTGCCTGATGTAGAGTAAGTCATGTACATGTATATGTGTCTCACCTGCTTGGTGTAATGTAAGTCATGTACATGTATATGTGTCTCACCTGCCTGGTGTAATGTAAGTCATGTACATGTATATGTGTCTCACCTGTTTGGTGTAATGTAAGTCATGTACATGTATATGTGTCTCACCTGCCTGGTGTAATGTAAGTCATGTACATGCATATGTGTCTCATCTCCCTGGTGTGGAGTAAGTCATGTGCATGTATATGTGTCTCACCTGCTTGGTGTAATGTAAGTCATGTACATGTATATGTGTCTCACCTGCCTGGTGTAATGTAAGTCATGTACATGTATATGTGTCTCACCTGTTTGGTGTAATGTAAGTCATGTACATGTATATGTGTCTCACCTGCCTGGTGTAATGTAAGTCATGTACATGTATATGTGTCTCACCTGTTTGGTGTAATGTAAGTCATGTACATGTATATGTGTCTCACCTGCCTGGTGTAATGTAAGTCATGTACATGCATATGTGTCTCATCTCCCTGGTGTGGAGTAAGTCATGTGCATGTATATGTGTCTCACCTGCTTGGTGTAATGTAAGTCATGTGCATGTATATGTGTCTCACCTGTTTGGTGTAATGAAGTCATGTACATGTATATGTGTCTCACCTGCCTGGTGTAATGTAAGTCATGTACATGTATATGTGTCTCACCTGCCTGGTGTAATGTAAGTCATGTGCATGTATATGTGTCTCACTTGCTTGGTGTAATGTAAGTCATGTACATGTATATGTGTCTCACTTGCTTGGTGTAATGTTAGTCATGTACATGTATATGTGTCTCACCTGCTTGGTGTAATGTAAGTCATGTACATGTATATGTGTCTCACCTGCCTGGTGTAATGTAAGTCATGTACATGTATATGTGTCTCATCTGCCTGGTGTAATGTAAGTCATGTACATGTATATGTGTCTCACCTGCCTGGTGTAGCGTGAGTCATGTACATGTATATGTGTCTCATCTGCCTGGTGTAATGTAAGTCATGTACATGTATATGTGTCTCACCTGCCTGGTGTAATGTAAGTCATGTACATGTATATGTGTCTCATCTGCCTGGTGTGGAGTAAGTCATGTACATGTATATGTGTCTCACCTGCTTGGTGTAATGTAAGTCATGTGCATGTATATGTGTCTCACCTGTTTGGTGTAATGAAGTCATGTACATGTATATGTGTCTCACCTGCCTGGTGTAATGTAAGTCATGTACATGTATATGTGTCTCACCTGCCTGGTGTAATGTAAGTCATGTGCATGTATATGTGTCTCACTTGCTTGGTGTAATGTAAGTCATGTACATGTATATGTGTCTCACTTGCTTGGTGTAATGTTAGTCATGTACATGTATATGTGTCTCACCTGCTTGGTGTAATGTAAGTCATGTACATGTATATGTGTCTCACCTGCCTGGTGTAATGTAAGTCATGTACATGTATATGTGTCTCATCTGCCTGGTGTAATGTAAGTCATGTACATGTATATGTGTCTCACCTGCCTGGTGTAGCGTGAGTCATGTACATGTATATGTGTCTCATCTGCCTGGTGTAATGTAAGTCATGTACATGTATATGTGTCTCACCTGCCTGGTGTAATGTAAGTCATGTACATGTATATGTGTCTCATCTGCCTGGTGTGGAGTAAGTCATGTACATGTATATGTGTCTCACCTGCTTGGTGTAATGTAAGTCATGTGCATGTATATGTGTCTCACCTGTTTGGTGTAATGAAGTCATGTACATGTATATGTGTCTCACCTGCCTGGTGTAATGTAAGTCATGTACATGTATATGTGTCTCACCTGCTTGGTGTTATGTAAGTCATGTACATGTATATGTGTCTCACCTGCCTGGTGTTATGTAAGTCATGTACATGTATATGTGTCTCACCTGCTTGGTGTTATGTAAGTCATGTACATGTATATGTGTCTCACCTGCTTGGTGTTATGTAAGTCATGTACATGTATATGTGTCTCACCTGCCTGGTGTAGTGTAAGTCATGTGCATGTATATGTGTCTCACCTGTTTGGTGTAATGAAGTCATGTACATGTATATGTGTCTCACCTGCCTGGTGTAGAGTAAGTCATGTACATGTATATGTGTCTCACCTGCTTGGTGTAATGTAAGTCATGTGCATGTATATGTGTCTCACCTGCCTGGTGTAGAGTAAGTCATGTACATGTATATGTGTCTCACCTGCTTGGTGTTATGTAAGTCATGTGCATGTATATGTGTCTCACCTGCCTGGTGTAATGTAAGTCATGTGCATGTATATGTGTCTCACCTGCTTGGTGTAATGTAAGTCATGTGCATGTATATGTGTCTCACCTGCTTGGTGTAATGTAAGTCATGTGCATGTATATGTGTCTCACCTGCTTGGTGTAGAGTAAGTCATGTACATGTATATGTGTCTCACCTGCTTGGTGTAATGTAAGTCATGTACATGTATATGTGTCTCACCTGCTTGGTGTAGAGTAAGTCATGTACATGTATATGTGTCTCACCTGCCTGGTGTAATGTAAGTCATGTACATGTATATGTGTCTCACCTGCTTGGTGTAATGTAAGTCATGTACATGTATATGTGTCTCACCTGCTTGGTGTAATGTAAGTCATGTACATGTATATGTGTCTCACCTGCTTGGTGTGGAGTAAGTCATGTACATGTATATGTGTCTCACCTGCTTGGTGTAATGTAAGTCATGTGCATGTATATGTGTCTCACCTGCTTGGTGTGGAGTAAGTCATGTACATGCATATGTGTCTCACCTGTATGGTTTAATGTAAGTCATGTACATGTATATGTGTCTCACCTGTTTGGTGTAATGAAGTCATGTACATGTATATGTGTCTCACCTGCCTGGTGTAATGTAAGTCATGTACATGTATATGTGTCTCACCTGCTTGTTGTAGTGTAAGTCAGGTACACAACGCCAGCTGCAACGACCAACAAAAGTCCAAGTACGTTTCGGCGACATTTAGGTTGACAGCATCTTGAAACAGCCGGCGACGTCATCCTCAGCACCGAAGCTATCAACGTCCTTAACATAACTAATTTTCTAGCCATCTTCACTCTTGCTACATTACGCGCATACCACTGCTGGTCCTTATTTTATTCCTGTTCAAAACACACATACCACACACTCTAAACGAACCAACAATAATCCGAGAAAACTTTAACAGAGGAGTCATCCGTTCACGAACAGGTCATCACACAGGTACGATCCATTAAACTGCAAAGAGATGTCCATAAATCACTCAATGTCCTTCACAAACACAATTAAATGATACAAAACCATTGTGTAAATAGCCATATGTTCCTTAGCGCGTCGTCCCCATCCAAACCCATCCAGACTTGTGAGTTAAATGCACAATACAGCTCTCACTACCACCACTGTTCACCGTCACAAGGTAGCATGTCTGTATTTTCCTTGGCTGTACGTCAAAATGGAAAGGGGAGTTACGTTCTCTTGACGAATTGGGTGTGTTGTAACGCCCGTTCATCATCATCACATTGCCTGTTGACATACAACACCTGTCACAAGTGGTTATGCTAATACATGTCGGTGTGCATTACTCATTCAACCCTGAGAAGATTGAGTACTCATACTGCATTACACATCATTTTGCATGTCATATCGGTATTGATAATTATGCTTGCATATATTTCATAAGATATTTCAGCTTGAAAATAGTATTAAAGTCTATTTAATGACATTTTCTAAATACTCATCGCAAGTTACATAAGAGATTTGCACTAATATATCTACGTGATAATGTTCACTGATATAAACTCACATCCACTTTCACATTATTCCAAAGAAGTATCATTATAAAGATTATATTATGTGTTTGTGGAAATGAGTTATCTAGTTATCAAAGCTGTTCTGGATGCATGTTTTCTTTTGTTTTATCTACCATCGCCAAAGGTAACCCATCCACTGTGGATACTTTATCAAAATCTGACACATTTGTCAGAGGTCGTAGTTTAAGACTGTCGTAGTCAAGACTGTCAGTATATGATTGACATGTAATTTCGTCCTAATAAAGTTCATGCAGATAGAAAACGCCATTCTATTCAGCCGGAGCTCTCTCAGCCCAAGGCGTGTTGACGGGATAGGCTTTAACTAATACATGTATATTTACCTTAGCGGGGCCAAAGCACACAACCTGGGACTAGTTACACACACGGTGTTGTGCCGGGTTAGCGAAAATCCAATTTTCTCTAGTATCAGTAAAGCGAAAACCCAAGTTGGGGTATTAGTCCTACGAAGGCGATTTGAGAGTCCCGGTATAGCAATATCCCGTGTTTACTGTAGCGTGACCAGTCTTACTGTAGCTTCACGAAAGCGAAGAGATTTTAGAGTTGATTATGGCAAGGTTTCGCTCTTCCGGCCCATAACCACACACACATGCACATATGCATGGATTCACGTGAAACTGTGATACATATTAAAAATTTATAAAAATAAAGAATCTTTTTTCTTCCGCTTAAACGTGAGTATTCGCCTCAACCGACTGGCAACACGCATACCTCCATTCAATAAGTGTTGACAAAGTTTTCAGAAAACGAAAGTAAAGTATTCATGTTATTAGAATCTACGGTGTCTATAAGCATGAAACCTGCCGAGAGCGAAAAGAATTGGGGCGCACAGTAACCGCTTTACACAATTTCCCTATTCTTGATGCATTTCAAAATATGGAACATTATAGTGGACAGTCGCCTTATTGTTGAGATTACCACAAAGCAAGGAGTGAGTGAGTTTGGTTTTACGTCGCTTTTACCAATATTCCAGTAATATCATGGCGGGGGACACCAGAGTGAGTGAGTGAGTGAGTGAGTGAGTGAGTGAGTGAGTGAGTGAGTGAGTTTGGTTTTACGCCGCTTTTACCAATATTCCAGTAATATCATGGCGGGGGACACCAGAAACCACTGTACATACCGATATAACATAATAGCTAACAATCTGAGTGAGTGTGCATAGTTTTAAGACGCTTTAACCAGATGTTTATCCCCACGGCCCCTTATGTGTTTATAAGCCACATTATGGAGTGTATATAATTGTGTACAAGAAAACGCAGTTACATTAGGAAGCGTTAGAAGACTGACAGGTAATGTAATGTGAACAATATGCGTACAATATTATTTCCTAACGTGTACAAGTTATTTTGCATATGAGTACAAGCTAATTTCGACAGCTGTACAAAGTAAATGTACACGTGTACAAGGCAATTTCACCACGTTTACAAATTATTACCACATGCGTACAAAAATATTTTCATATGTGTACAAATTAATTTCCACATGGTTCACGTTAATGTCAACATATGCTGTTTTTCACGTGTGTACAAGATTATGTATACAAGTTAATTTCCACATGTGCACAAGATAATTTCCACATGCGTACAAGGTTATTTCCACATGTGCACAAGTTAATTTCCACATGTGCACAAGATAATTTCCACATGCGTACAAGGTTATTTCCACATGTATACAAGTTAATTTCCACATGTGCACAAGATAATTTCCACATGCGTACAAGGTTATTTCCACATGTATACAAGTTAATTTCCACATGTGCACAAGATAATTTCCACATGCGTACAAGGTTATTTCCACATGTATACAAGTTAATTTCCTCATGTGTACAAGTTAATGTCTTCATGTGGACAAGTTAATTTCCCCATGTGCACAAGATTATTTCCACATGTGTACAAAGTAATTTTTTTCATGTGGACAAGTTAACATCCACATTTGTACAAGATTATTTTTACATGTATACAAGATTAATTTCAACGTGTGTATACGTTATGGAGCCATTATATCGACGTTGCCGAAATATCATGGAAAGCAATGTAAACCATATAACTCCATTAGTTTGTTTATCAGTACATTGCTGATTAAACATATTCGTCTTGATTGACGACGACACGCTGTACACTCAACATCAATTCTTTAAATATGCCAGATATTCATACCTTGAGAACACCAGGTGAGTTTGTCGTACACAATGTTGACATCGACTGTAGCTCCGTTTAAGTTCTGAACACACTTGTCTATTTCAACAGACATGTGATACATTAAATAATATGTACACGTTTTGACGTAGATATATGTGACGTTGTGTGACAGATGTAGATATACACCGGGCAGATATTAAAAGATAAACTTGTCACAGAATGTTAATATCGCTGTATGGTAGCACATTTGACTCGTAAGGCTCTGCAGGCAGCCATACATATAATCTGACTTTATGAAATACAATGTATATAGCCAGAGGTATGTGCACATATCTAGGAACACTTGTACTTTATAAGGCGGTCATACAACTATGGATCTTTTGTTGATAAGAAGTTGTGCAGTTGTTTTTAAGCGTTCTCGAAGGCTGAACGTGGAGCCGTGAAATTGATACGCCAGATACAACCTGAGATAATATCGGACGGTGCTCTGCACGCAACGGAACAATCGTCCAACAACAATAACCCATGAAACAATAGTTTGCATGCTTTAGATTTTCACTCTCTACACTACGTCGATACTCTCTACACTACAAAGCATACTACCCTCTACACTATGCTCTACACTACCCTCTATACTACAAAACACTCTACCCTCTACACTACGTAGTACACTACCCTCTACACTTCGCAGTACAGTACCCCCTACACTACGCAGTACACTACCCTCTACACTACGCAGTACACTACCCTCTACTCTTCGCAGTACAGTACCTTCTACACTACGCAGTACACTACCCTCTGCTCTTCGCAGTACACTACCCTCTACACTACGCAGTACACTACTCACTACACTGTTCTCTACACTACGCCACTACCCTCTGCACTACGCCACTACCCTCTACACTACGCAGTACACTACTCACTATATTGTGCTCTACACTACGCCACTACCCTCTACACTACGCAGTACACTACTCACTATATTGTGCTCTACACTACGCCACTACCCTCTACACTTCGCAGTACACTAACCTCTACACTACGCAGTAAACCACTCACTACACTGTGCTCTAAACTACGCCACTACCCTCTACACTACGCCACTACCCTCTATACTACAAAACACTCTACCCTCTACACTACGCAGTCCACTACCCTCTACACTACGCAGTACATTACTCACCTCACGGCGGTCTACACTACGCCACTACCCTCTATACTACAAAACACTCTACCCTCTACACTACGCAGTACACTACTCACTACACTATGCTTACACTACGCCACTACCCTCTATACTACAAAACACTCTACCCTCTACATTACGCAGTACACTACTCACTACACTATGCTTACACTACGCCACTACCCTCTATACTACAAAACACTCTACCCTCTACACTACGCAGTACACTACACTCTACACTATGCAGTACACTACTCACTTCACTGTGGTCTACACTACGCCACTGCCCTCTATACTACAAAACGCTCTACCCTCTACACTACGCAGTACACTACACTCTACACTATGCAGTACACTACTCACTACACTGTGGTCTACACTACGCCACTACCCTCTATACTACAAAACACTCTACCCTCTACACTACGCAGTACACTACTCACTACACTATGCTTACACTACGCCACTACCCTCTATACTACAAAACACTCTACCCTCTACACTACGCAGTACACTACACTCTACACTATGCAGTACACTACTCACTTCACTGTGGTCTACACTACGCCACTGCCCTCTATACTACAAAACGCTCTACCCTCTACACTACGCAGTACACTACACTCTACACTATGCAGTACACTACTCACTACACTGTGGTCTACACTACGCCACTACCCTCTATACTACAAAACACACTACCTCTACACTACACAGTCCACTACTCACTTCACTGTGCTCTACACTACGCCACTACCCTCTATACTACAAAACACTCTACCCTCTACACTACGCAGTACACTACACTATGCAGTACATTACTCACTACACTGTGGTCTACACTACGCCACTACCCTCTGTACTACAAAACACTCTACCCTCTACACTACGCAGTCCACCACTCACTTCACTGTGGTCTACACTACGCCACTACCCTCTATACTACAAAACACACAACACTATGCAGTACACTACACTCTGCACCATGCAGTACACCACTCACTACACTGTGGTCTACACTACGCCACTACCCTCTATACTACAAAACACTCTACCCTCTACATTACGCAGTACACTACTCACTTCACTGTGCTCTACCCTACGCCACTACCCTCTATACTACAAAACACTCTACCCTCTACACTACGCAATACACCACTCACTTCACTGTGCTCTACACTACGCCACTACCCTCTATACTACAAAACACTCTACCCTCTACACTACGCAGTACACCACTCTCTTCACTGTGCTCTACACCACGCCACTACCCTCTATACTAC